ATACTCAAGGGAACCGAAGCAAACTTGCTGGAGCGCGTGAAAACACGGGCGACCAATTCGTATTTTGTTTCAGTTTTGCATCTGATTGGTTGGGAGAGTGGCGCGAATTTTTTTGGACCAATCACAGAGTGGAGTCAAGCAAAACCAAGGCAACCCCGGATTTCTTCCGACACTTCATTGAAAACCGCTCATTGAATCCAGTTTTTGAATTGTTATGCATTGACATTGTTGTACTAACGTAGTTTTTGTTGGTTTGCAGGTTGATTGCCATGGCTTATGGTCAAATTGGTATGATTCAGGTAAATGTCTGTTTGCGGAAAGTGTTTAAACGAAACGTAAAGAGTCTCCTTTAGATTTTACAGAATATGTTATGTCTGCACAAGGGTAAATTGTCCTTGTAGCCGGAACAACCCATTTATTGACTGCGTCAGACGAAGAGCAGAAGAAAGGAAGGAATTCGTTGTCCTCGAACCGAGACCCGTCAAATTAGCGCTCAGTACTCTATCCATCGGACCAGTGCGTCTTTTAACGGTTGTTTCTGATATTTATCTGCAGGCTACCGCTGGTTTCTTCGTGTACTTTGTAATCATGGCTGAGAATGGATTCTTGCCTGGTTATCTCTTTGGTTTGAGGAGACCTTGGGATAACAGGGATATCAATGATTTGCAAGACTCCTATGGCCAGGAGTGGGTACGTAGTATTTTGCACAAAAAAAGGAACTAAAATTTCAGTAATAGAAAATATGATGATGATAACAACAAGAACAACAAAAAAAACAAAAACGAAAAAAATCAAAACTCCTTTCAAACACTGTTGTTAACCGCTAAGGGTATGAGCCCATAGAGAAAAAAAGAGTCTATTTAACAAATCGACAGCGGTTTAGCGTCGTCTGTACTCTTATCGACAACGATATTAGTCATCATAGTGGTCAAAATGTTGCTGACTCACGCCGGAGGAGGAGCCAAACTGGCCAATCAGATTGCGACATAATTGCCAAGTGTGGTAAAAATAGAAAATCTAAAGGATAAAGAGAGGACACAAGGCTCATGCAAAGGTTTCGATTGCAAAATAAACATGAAACTTTACGAACAAATATTCAGTTCTTTGTTTGTAACGGGGATTGTCGACGGCATCTCGCGTCCCCTCGCGGGGAAGGCCAGAAGCCACGGAGCAGCCGATAAGGATTCTGCTTCAAGAGTCCACCTTCAACCTGAGGAATGATATTTTGGCATAAAAGTTCATAGCTTGTATACAATAACCACATAATTCATCGCATTAATGAATAATTTTCATTGTGCCTTGCAGACTTACAGCCAACGCAAGATCTTGGAATTCACTTGTCACACTGCCTTCTTTGTCAGTATTGTGGTCGTGCAGTGGGCAGATTTGATCATCTGTAAGACCAGGAGAAATTCTCTCTTCACACAGGGAATGAAGTAAGTACTTGCCCTCTTGTGAAAAACTCGTCGTATTTGGGTCAAGCCTAACGGCCCCCCTTTCGGGCGCAGCCGCCTTTGGATTGAGTTATTTAACCCCTGGATAACCGCAAGTATTTTCAAGAAAGACGACCAATTCTGCACTCACTGGTGTAGCTTGTAGCGTTTGGATACTGTTCAATATACCCCATGATGTTTACTTTGTTCGTTTTGGTGTCGTTCATTCTCCTCTTAATTTATCCACAGCAACTGGTTCTTGAACTTCGGTCTGGTCTTCGAGACTTGCTTAGCTGCCTTCCTCAGCTACACTCCCGGCATGTCCAATGGACTTCGCATGTATCCGTTAGCGTAAGTACAAACTTTTATGCACTTAAGCATCTCATAGCATCTCGTCGTTAGAAATTGCCGCTCGATTTAGCAATTATTTGGAATTAGCCCCACTTGAATTAGCGCAAATTGAGGGAGAAGTAACTTTCTGACAAATAGAACTAACGTGATACAGGTGCTAAAAGTTAATTTTGAGGTAGATCAACGCGACTTGTTATAGAAATAAAATTAGTTAAGAAAACATGTTGACACTAGGTATGAAAATCCCTGACTTCCCCCTCATAAAAGAAAAGAAATGAAAAAAATAGTGAACGAAGCCATAAGAGAAAGAATGATTACTTCGTCAAAGTACAGTGAGCTAAATATAAAGCTTTTTTGGTTATTTTTTTTAAGCCTACACCATAAGAGAGTACAGGATGGAGTTCCCATCTGCACACAATGACCTCAGTATCAATGCATGATTATTGACCAATCTGGAGCGGGCCAGGGCTCGACACTAACGGTAGCCAACTAGCCACAGACTAATAGAAATTCAGTTTTGGCGAGTGGTTTTCGAAACTGAAATTGTTGTAGCATCTAAGTTGTCACTAGCTACTTGGCTAGTAAGTTGAATAGTTAGTGTCCAGCCCTGACGAGACATTTTATTATTCCCACAATGATAGGGTAACATCAATATGTTTTTGTTTTACAGTTGGCAGTGGTGGTTTCCAGCCATGCCTTTCAGCCTTGTCATCTGGATCTATGATGAAATTCGTCGTTACATTCTGCGTAGATACCCAGGATGTAAGTACTGCAAAATAAGCGGGAGTTTTTTCTTGGATATGACTTGTTTTCAAGTGTAGCAAGAGTAAACCGGGATTGCTTTTCGGTGATTTATCAAAAATGTGGACAAGAAAAAAAAAGAACAGCCGCTCAGCCAAGCGAGGAATCAACTAGCCAAACAAAACAAACTCACAAGATGAAAAGCTTACAAGTAAAGAAACAATAAAAAAAAAAAAAAAAAAAAAATGATCGAGAAGCAGTCGAGTGCAATGTAGTACAGAAACAAATTAAACTCGAAGGCAGACAAACCTAAAAGGAAATAAAATCGGGCGAGGGGAGGGGAGGGGGAGAACATTGATTTCGTGTGAAGAACGGTCGGTAGTCTTTTCAAACGGAAGGAAGTATGATATATTTCAACAATTAAGTAAAATCCTCTGTGTAATTTCACTGACTTTTTTTTAAAATGTTCTCTTTTCAGGCTGGCTTGACCAGGAAACGTACTATTAGAACTCTTTTATTACCTGACATTTGATGCTACTCAATTACTTTGGACCTTTCCTAACTATGTCCTTCAAGTATACAGAGTTGCCGTCGATATCAGTGTCCATCACTTATGTTTTATTTTGATTTGAAATGGGATATCCATTCTCAATGTATCGGGCTTTGCCTCAGGCCTGAAGCTAGTTAAATGTGTGTTTTAAGTGAGTAGGGTTAGCTTTCGTAGGGTATAGGTGTCTATAGTCCTTTGAAACGATTTGTGGAAACGTTTAGTAGTAAAACTTTGAATTTAGAATTGTAGTGTGATACGTGGTCAGCGGTACCTACATGTAGGTCGTCTTGAAAGAGTGATGTCATGGTATTCTGAGGTATTTTACTGCGACGTGCAAGGTGACCTCCGCTATAAGATAAAAATGAAAGCTTTTTTTTTATTAGATCGAGAACAGCAAAGAGGAAAAAAATCAATCGGAAAGGAATAAGGAAAAAGAACGGTGAACCATGATGTTTCTCTTTCAACCTTCTAACTTCCATGATCTGATTATTAAATCTCACTTCTATCCTCCATACATTACCCTGTAAACAAGAGGAGAGAGTTTGTTATGAAAGCCAGATCACGCGCCACCCCCCCTCCCCCCATAAGCTCGTTTCTTACCATCACCTGATTGGTGGATAATATTCTTACAGTGCAAAGGCAAGTTGCATTTTGATCAGGACTGGAAGTTTGAGGGCAAGAGTTAGCTTCAGTTGCTAGGTGAGACTCGTCGCGTAATCATTAAAAAAAGTTAAAATATTGGTTAATATCACTCTTCTGTATTGTAGCAATTGTAGCAAGCACTGTTCTCATTTTAATCTTGGCACATTTTCTCGCATAGCATTTTGTAACAACATTAGGATTGTTACTGCATTAATATATTTAAAAGATTGAATCTGAGTTAGTCTTCTTTTTATCCTGGCGAAGTCATTTTAATGGACCGTTCGCAGGCTTTGTGTAGTCAGATATTTTTAGATTTGGCATTTGCACCTGTTTCAGAATTAATTGTGAGAGCGGAAATGAAGCAATTTCTTTAGTTTGGAATCAAGATCTTTAAGCTAAGATGAATTTGTCTTCATGGACTACGACGGTATTGCGAGACAAACTTAGAAGTGATTGTACGAAGTACATGGGATAAATTCTCTCTTTTTCTGAAGGTCGTACGGCTTTTTGAACCCGTGCTCCACAATATGGGGTGAATGGTAATTAGCCTTGAAGGTATTTTTATCAATGGACTAGGGTATACGAGGAATTGTCTGTCCGTGTAAAAAAAAAATTTTTATAGCGATAATGAAACGACAGTAATTACGACAAACTAAACAGTAACAAGAAGAAAAACAAAGAAATACCAGAAGTTTCGAGAGAAGCAGCAACCAAACGAGAAATGTCAAAAGAATAATCTTCACGAACAGATGACAACAATAGTAACAATATCGACAATGACAGCGGTATCCACAGCAACAGTAGCGACAGAAAAAGTAGAAGTGATGGAGCAGCAGCAAACTGAAGGTAGCAACAGTTCACAATAACAAGTACAACAGTTAACATTTATAATCAATAAACAAACAACAATAAGCAGCAACAAATGTAAGGTTGTAATATTTAATCTCTCATGTTATCAGCCGTAGGTATTTGTTTTCATATTATTCCTGTAGAAATTGCTATCTGCAAAGGTTTTCCTTGTAAGCTTAATTTTCAACTTAGACCTAGTCTATTAATTGATGCACAATAGTGCGCATTCATGTAAAAGTAAACGTTAGAAGTGTAGCTTCGTGGTTAAATAGTTGTCAAAACTTTTTTTTTAATGTAAATTTTCGGCGCAAACCTATCTTTTGGGGAGCTCTCGTGTCAGTCATATAGCTTGCTTTGCATGAGTCGCAATCTGAATGAAACCCGGTATGAATTTTACTGTTTTATTTAATATTTAGGGAACTATTACTTTAGCAATGAAGGTCATTGGCAGATTTTTGACTGTAGATGAGACGTCAAGTCAATTTGATTACATTCTAGCTTGTTTAAGATGGATTTGTAATTTACCATGTTGAAAAACGGTAACCTAGCGTTTTATCATTAAAGGATATTTGATATCTGCAAAATTTTCTTTAATCGTTCCTTTACGAGAGCCAAAAGTCTTGGCAAGCTATTCTGTATGATTTATCCTTTAATTTTTAGTTATCTTCCCTTCTCTCTCGTTTCAGTGTTTCATGGCGTTACTTTAACAAATGAACCATTTTTTGTAACACAGAAAAAAAAGGAGATCTTCAAGTAATTTCCTCTGAGGTTTTTCCTTAAGCGGCTGCAATCGGCGTAATAGTCAGGGCTCGAAATAACGACCGGTCATCAGACAATGACCGGTCAATTATGGGTGTCCAGCGGTCAACTCCTTTATTGGCCGGTGCGGTTGTTTACGCATGTAAAAAAGAATTTAATTCCGAGATAACTTTAAGGGTTCAAGACAGCTTTATCCCTTTTCGTGCGTCAAGTTCGAGGCTGCAAGTACACTAAAGCGTGTAAGGAGTGTGAGAGGGATTTTTTGAGATATGACTTAAAGGATGTTGGGTTGTGTTCGAGCAAAAGTGGGTTTGACCAGTCAGTTTGATCGGCACCAACTGGGATGTTATTTCAAGCCTTGAATAGGTAAGCTGTACTGGGAAAAAGGGGTCGTGAGGCAAAACGCAAAACACAAAACACGAGAGCTTGCAGGCGGGGCAAACAGACGACGGTGGGAGGTGTTGAAGGCTGAGGTAGACGCCGGAAACCGGCTTTTGTTGAAAACTTCGGCCTACCAGAGAATGATGAAGTACAAGCCCGCTTGCGGGCGGTAGTTGGTATGTGCTAGATTCAGGGCGGAGAATAATGGACGGGCGGAAGATCTGGGATGAGTAACAAAGCGAGGGGGAAGGGGAAGAGGAAGAAAGTCAGTCACTCGTCCCAGATCTTCCGCCGTACAATACGGCGACCGAATATAATCGCTGCGCTGAATCTCGCACATAACAACTACCGCCTCCAAACAGGCTAATAAAGTACAATGTTTGTGTGGAAGGTTGTCGATCATCTTACTAAGAGGAAGCATATGCAGCTACTTTTTTCCACTCACTGTACAAATCTTCCCTCTGGGGTAAAGATGAACGCGAGAGGCTTGGGCACAAGATTAGAAATCATTGTAGCTCGCGCTTGCTGTCTCGTGCTGTGCATTGTGGTATCACGATACAAACATGGTACTTCTTGGCCACACACACGATCGTATAAATATCCGTAATAAAAACACAGAAAAACATTTAAAAATGCTCATTTTAATTGCTCATGTACGTTATAACTAATTCTGTACGGAATGAGTAAGTAATTATCAGTGTGGATTGTCAAAAATATCTTTTCCCTTCGAAAGGCACAAACCTCGTTTCGAGTTAAAAGAAATGTTCAACTCATCAATATTTTCAATTTCATTCAATTTACGAGGAGGGAAAGGACGAAAAATCCTTGAACTATCAAAATTTGTTCGGGTAAATGAAAAACGGCTACACGCGTTTGGTAGTAATAAAATCATGGCAACGTGCCTTTGTAATATTCAAGGCAGATAAATTCACTCTGAAACATTCATAAGCGCAATAGGCATTTAACAATCAGTCTTTCGTGATCCAATCCGCCTTCAAAATGATGCAATTCGAACCCTGTCCATCCGCAAGACAGCATCACACTCGCTTTAGTTTCGATCAGTAGTAAGTTTCTTGTTCCAGCCAACCTGATGATAAAGAAAACAAAGTAAGTCGGCCCAAGTTTTTCCGTTGTTTCTTGCAGTGATCAATAAGATTGAACCATCGTACTTAGCCACATCCAAATTCATATTTTAATGTTGGCACAAGTCCACCAACATGACTAGTGTATGTTCAGCAAACGACAACACTGTTGTGGGGGAGGGGCGGAGAGGGACTAAAGAACAATTTCACAGCAAAAAAAGGGGAAAATGTCCCAAGCAATTTGTCGAAGACTGTAGAATGCAAGGCACAACGACGGAACTCTACTTAATTCGACACGACCCAGCCTGACTTTTACTACTGGTTATGACAATGAAAAAGTTTATCGCGATGTAAATTTTGATAAAAGGGACGATTGCAAAGCACCTTCGGAGAACGCGCTGTGATGTCCATCATATCCTCGACCTCGCTTTGATAACGAGGGGAAAAGAGAATGCGGGGAAACAAAGCTAAGAGGACAAATCACTGAGAAAAATTTAAATTCTCTATTTTTCAATTTCTTTTGAATGACTAAAAGCGAAATAACTTACATCCCGGATGTCTTCGGATGATGTATCTACGACACTCATCGTACACAAAGATCAAAAGGCTGAAAGGAATGGCTGGAAACCACCATTGAGCGCTGAAGGAGTAAACAAAAAGTTAGAGATAAAATAACCAAATCATTTGAATGAACAGTAAACAGTTTTAATCCTAAGGGTAAAAGTTGATCGTGAAGTCTGATCGTCCTTGTTTACTCACTTCTCTATTCTCTTTGTTTATAATACTAATTGTGTATAAATACCTTGGTTGGTGTAAATATAGAATTAAAGTAAAGTAAGTCTTGTGTAAATGTTAAGATACGCCAGTTGATTATACGTGACAGTGGCCAACTCGAAAGCTATGCTACTTTGGTCACTGTGCACATTTTACTTTTGCTTATTGATGTAATTTACTGTTTTTTTTTTTTATATATTCTGACTTTTATAATCTGTAGTAACCTCTTGAAATAGTGCGAATAAAGAGTTTCCTCCCTAGCGAGTAACTCTGGGGAAGACTGTCAACGGCAAAGAGTATCTGGAGTTTTGAAAACCATGGCAGAAGTCACAGCAATGCTTGGTTTTCATATGTCGGGAAAATACCAGACAATGTCACTGTTTCCTGACCGTCCCAGATTTTTCCGACAATTGAAAAATGGAAATCGCAAAGATCCTCGACTGTCCCTATTTTCCCGACGCAACCCAGACTTCCTCGATGATTGGCGATCATTCATGATGTATAAAAATTGAAATTTTTATTGACGGAGACGTCACCGTTAGTTATAACAAGCTCCCAATCTTTCCAGTTGCTTCGCCATATTACGCTGAGTCACAAATAAAATGGCGTGTGGAAGAGTCTGGGACGGTTGGGAAACAATATGATTGCCGATCATCTGTGATTTCCCGAGATATGACAACCTGGCTTTATGTCTTCCTCTGAAGAGTGCTGCCGACAATAATGCCATCAGTTATGATTTCTTTTGATTTTTAAATGGGCTATCCATTTCTCATGCATCGGGCTTCGCATTAGGCCCGTCAGCTACATTGACCCAAGCCATCATATTGCAAAATCGAATATTCAGTTCAAATCCGCACAATTTTCAACCCTTGAACAAAATGAATCCATAACGGACTCTGTGAGTTGAACCATACTCCTTTCAGCAAAAGTTGAAAACGAACAAGCACTGTCCACAACATGAACATAACCAACGAAGTAAACTGAAGGAAGGCCGCATGGTCGAGTGGTCAGCGTGTCGGATTTGCAATCCGTCGCTCCCGGGTTCAAGTCCCGCCCTGGCCACTACCTGGATTTGTTTCACGGTAGCCCCGAGTTTCAAATCCTCGGCCATGCCTGTAATATAGCCAACTGGTTTGCCTTCGGTCAGTTGGGATTCTTAACAACGTTATTCTCAATTTGAATTATTTGTTTAAGTTGTTTTGTGGAAAACCTGTAAACTAGCTTCTAGCTAGGTGTTTCTCCACGTTGAACTGTTTATTTATTTATTTAACTAGTTTTACAATCGGATCGAAACTGGTGAATCACAGCCGAAGTCTTACTGTCACTAAAACAATACGAAATTCTACACTTTTCATTGGCTTTCCTTTACTTCGCGTTGTGATTGGTGTAGAAAATGCGCGCTCCCTCTCGACTAATCCGATGCAAAACTGCTACAAGCGTGACTGGGTATCTCGCATTTTCCAGCAACTTCCCACACATCTTCACTCTAAGTAGTCATTGGCTCTTTGAGGTATGGAGCAGTGTTTTGATCGGTCCGTTGTGATTAATTTGCTTTTAGTTTTAAGAAACTCTATCTACGAGCGCTCTATGTAACAGTGTACTTACAGTAATGGGTACATCCGCAGACCAGTAGATAGACCAGGTGTGTAGCACAGCAGTACAGCGAGAGCAGTTTCAAAGACCAGGCCAAAGTTTAGGGCGTTGTTACTGGTAGAAAAAGATACAAACAAAATTAAAAATTTAACATGAATGATAGTAATAATAATAAAAAATAAATCTAGTAGACAGCTTCAGTTACGTCAACCGCATCAACCAATTGTAACCACACAAAAAAGGTTGAAATGTTCTTAATGAACTCACTTCTTGGGTCAATCGTTTTCTTCTTTTTATCCTCTTTTCTTTCGCGTAATAGATGATGAGGGTTAAGGCTGATTCATCACGCGTAGAAATCGAGAAGGGATAATCTAATCATATTACGATAAATCCACTGGTCGTTCCAAAATTAACAGGACAGGTTCATATCTTTTCGCATTTTTATTACAACCACAGATTGGTTGGGCTCCTCTCTTTACTGACAGTCTATAACAGAATAGACGGCGAATAGCGTAACAAATCAGATTGCAGCATTTGTGATAGAGTGCGAAGAGATAAATTACCATTGTTCACTGTGCGTTTGTCAAAGAAATTTTGAAAGCAAAATAAATAATAATAAAAAAAAAATACAGAAAAAAAAGATTAAATAAAACACCCTGCGTATCAACTTACGTCATTTTCTGCTTAAGAATGGAATTCTTTCGAGTTTTACAGATGATCAGATCAGCCCACTGTACCACTACAATGCTCACAAAGAAAGCTGTGTGACACGTGTACTCCAAAATCTTCCTCTGGCTGTACGTCTACGGGGAAAATAATGTTGTAAGCCAAGAGTTCCGTTGTTAAAACAATGGAAATCCTTGTAAAAAACAACTGAGTCAGTTATGTTAAACATATGGAAATGTTTACAAAAGATAAAATTGATAAATCGTATGTGAGATCTTAAAAATCGAGAGAGGTCAGTTGAGTAGAAACATATGAAGCAAATGTAGCAGATATTCTCTACGTCAAAACTTCAACTTCGAAACTTCTATGCTAAACTTGGTTCGAGGGTTGGTGTCAAATAAAACAAGTCCGAAATTTATGAGACATCAAACTGCTAGACCTCTGTTCGAGACTGAATATCTGAGACCGAACTGTTCTAGCCCAGCAACTCCTTACTATTACAGAACATTTTCTCAGCTTGATAGGCTACCACTATTTTCTTTAAGCATGGGCTCCGCCGCGCGCACGCTGCGAGCTCGGCTATGACTACAAACTGTACAAGAGTCGATTAAGCGAAATGGCTCACCCATTCCTGTCCATAGCTGTCAGGTACGCTTTGATTGTCCCTGTCTTCCCATTCTGCTCGAATACCAAACAGACGAGTTGGAAAGAAACCATTTTCAGTCATAATGACGAAATAAGTGAAGAAGCCACCCAAAGCCTAGAGACAATAAAGGATATGTAAGGAGACAACACCTAATCAAAAGGTAGATAACTCGACAAACTAACCATAGAAGTAACGGGACACGAATTTTCCTGTGTTGGTTTTAAGATGAAGTTATAATTCCAAAATGTAACGACGCACTTCTTCCCAATAATTTAATTTCTTTCCGGCATGAAAGACAGATAGAGAAAGTACTCGCGCTTCATTTTGGGAAAAAAGTTTCTTGTATTTTTTTGAAACACTTTTTCAGACTCTAGAAGAGCGATCAGCACAGGTACAGTGAGCTTTCTTCAATAACACAACGCAATTAGAGGACAATTTACATTTCAGTAAAGGTGTGATTCATATGAAGCGTAGCTGCAGATATGTTGGCCAGCAGAATGATCAATTTGTAACGTCTTGTTGGAGTTTGGTACCTCACTTACCTGAATGAAACCTATTTGTCCATAAGTCATGGCAATTAGCCTAGAGAGAAAGAGTTAATATTACATTCATGCAGATTAATCCCCGATTGGTGTTATTCTACCAAGGATCGAGTTAAAGTCATGGGCGGACCACAGAAGAGTGCATAGATATCAACGGGCACTTTTGCTAAAAACGTAAAATGTGCTGTTTATCGTTTATGGGGTTAAATGAAACTCAAATTTCTTATTACAAAGTCTGCCTGAAATGACCCATGAAAGTTTAGTTATTTTTCAACTTATCTTCTATAATGGTTTAATGATTCCAACATTAAATCTTTTTTCTTGAATATGGTATCAGAATACCAACCATTCATAAACACGATGTAAGCATTTATTTGAATAAAAGGTTGCCATAACAACACCGCAACCTTTCAGAGACACCCCTAATTTCACCTTTGCGTTCTTGCAACTGAGAAACGATTTCCGTAAACCCTGTTAATTATTAAACCATGTTAATTATTAAACCCTGTTAATTATTAAACCCTGTTAATCATTAAACCCTGTTAATCATTAAACCCTGTTAATCATTAAACCCTGTTAATCATTAAACCCTGTTAATTATTAAACCATGTTAATTATTAAAGCCTGTTAATTATTAAACCCTGTTAATTATTAAACCCTATTAATTATTAAACCCTGTTAATTATTAAACCCTGTTAATTATTAAACCCTGTTAATTTTCAGCCAGTGACAGGAATCATATAAAGATTCATTTTTTCCTAAACTGTTAAAATAAAAATGTGGAGTATGTTAAGGGCCACCATAAACTTGGGTGGTTTTGAATGTACTGTAATACCTTTCATTAACAAGTTTATCATGTAAGGGATCTCTAGGTTTCCTCTTCATGATATCACTCTCTGCTTTCTCGTACGCCAAAGAAATGGCAGGAACCTGAGGGTGGCAAACAAAGAAAGAAAATCAAATAGAGCTTGACTTCTTAACTATGGAACATGTTCTCGATACCAGAACAGTTAAATAACCAGGAAGAAGTCAAGGTCAAAGAAAGTAATTCATTTCGAATTCAAAACATAACAAAAAACCAAGATGGCCGCTACTGTTAGAAAAAAAAAAGAAAAAAAAAAGAGTTCTAGAGCCCGCGGTCCTCGGCGGCAAAACCACTAAAGGGCGGGAAAACGAGTGGTATTTGAACAAATCCTTCTTTAACACATGTTGCACTTACCATGTCAGTACCCAGGTCAATACAAAGGATTGTAATGATGCCCAGAGGTTGAGGAATGCCGATTATGATGAACATCAAGAAAGGAGTGATCTCGGGGATGTTACTGGTCAATGTGTAAGCGATGGACTTCTTCAAGTTGTCAAAGATCAAACGACCTAAAAAAGGAAAGATAAAACACACACGTCTCACGTTATTCTAATCTACAAACAAAAAATAGAGAGAGAGAGAGAGAAAGAGAGAGAGAGAGAAGAGAGAGAGAGAAGAGAGAGAGA